TCCTCCCCTCCCTCCCTCCCTCCCTTCCTTCCTTCCTTCCTTCCTTCCTGTTTCTCCTGTCCTTCCCCCTCCTTTCCTTCTGTTCTTCTGCACTTTGTTCCTTCCATCCACTGCCCGCCCCCCACCCTCAATGCAAAACACTAGTGTAGGGACGCAGATTGAGGCATTCGGGGTCGGAGCCGTGGATTGAAGCGCTAGGGCTGGCATCTACTTCGCGGATTTTGATAGGACAGCTGATTTTTCTTTGCCTCGGATCCCTCATTTGCAAAGTAGATTATATTTAAGAACATCTCCCCAAGTGCACTGTCCAGGGAATAAAGTCAGTGTCCTGTTAAGTATGAATTATAAGCTGTCATTCGCCACCTGCTTCTCATAGGCACCGTGCTTAGGACTGGCCAGTAACTGTTTTGTTTAATGTCGCAGTAACTCTGGGACGCAGGCTTGAGAGCCCCCATTCTGTAGAGATGGCTGGGCTCAGATCAGTTACCTCCCTACTGGCAGGTAATTCGAATGAGACCCAGGGTTCTGACCGAGACTCCCCTGAATCCAGGGCCCTCCCCCAGCTCCCTGCCTGTGGACAGGAAAAGTGCCATCAGGCTGCCGTAGTGCTGCGCACCTGACAGTCACACCTGTGCATCCACCTGTCTCACTCGCTCTACATAGCGCATCCTGTGTAGTTAACGTATTTATCTATAAACATATCACTGAAATTTAGCATAAATTGCTTCATAAGTAGCTCCTGTTTCCTTGTGAAATACTCATAATTGACGTTTGAGCATTGAAATCTACTTTCGTTTTCCTTTTCAGCATTTGGTCAAAACGAGTGCCATGACCCTGGTGTCCCCATCAATGGACGGCGCTTTGGCGACAGGTTTCTGCTTGGGAGTTCGGTTTCCTTCCACTGTGACGACGGCTTTGTCAAAACCCAGGGCTCAGAGTCCATCACCTGCATACTGCAGGACGGGAATGTCGTCTGGAGCGCCACCGTCCCCCGCTGCGAAGGTGCGGCTTTGCCCTCATTTCTGAGTTATTTTTCTTTGAAATGGAGCATCTGCCTGGAAACAATCAGCTGTATTGGCTTCCTGGGGCTGCCACGACAAAGGACCCCAAGGACCTGGGGTGCACACGACAGCAACATGTTGTCTCCCTGTCCTGGAGACTGGACAGCCAACACCAGTGTGGCAGGGCGGGTTCCTCCCAGGGCCATGAGGGTGGAGCTGGGGTTTGCCGGCCATCTCGGGGCTGCTCGGCGTGCAGAAGCATCACGAGAATGCGTCTGTATCCACATTTTCTCTGTCCAGCGGTCATGCTGGATGAGGGACACTCATGGGATCGCCCCTTAGCTAGTCACATGGGCAATGACCTTATACCTAAAGAAGGTCACATCCTAACGTGCTGGGATTAGGAACGTGGGGGACATCATTCAACCCATAACATATTCAACCCATATTTTGAAATTTCCAGTCTGGTTGCCTGTGTAAAAACAAACACACACAAACAGAAAAACAGGGAGGGTATCCCCTGTAACGTTTACCAGGTACAATGTGTTTACCTAGACTGCGTGCTCACGCCGCCCCCACGCGAACGGTCCGCACACGATGAGCGAAGCACAGCTTTTGCCCAGTCATCACTGGGTGGAGGCCTGGTTAGGGGTCGCTTCTTAGGGAAGTTTTTTAAAGCCAGTATGTTTGTTCATCCGGCAGAATTTTCTGGGTGCCAGCGCACCGTGGGCGTACATTGTGTGGATCTGGATAAAAGATGTCCCTCTTTATTTATTCTGCCTCTAACCCGCCTGTATGCTTCAGCACGGCTCAGCGTCATTAAAAATGCAGGTTATTAAGGGGGCAAGTAATTGTACAAGAATGCGTCATTAACTCTATGGCAGCAAATTTAAAGTTCAAAGAAAATTGGTATTTTCCTAGCAAAGTATGAATTGCCCGAAGTGACCCAAATAAAAAGTGCAAATTGTGAATAAACAAAGTACCATAAAAAGAGATTTGAAAAAAATATATATTAAAGATTGAAAAATTCACAGTCACCACAGAGGTGCATAAGTAAGTTCTATGTTCCAAATGTAGGGGACTTGGGGTTTGGGTATACGGTTACAGATAATGGCAAGGACGGACTAACTCCTGCATGCCATTATACAAAGCCAGCATTAACGCAACATATCCGAGCCACATAATTACATTAAAAAAGCTATAGAAAAGTATGCATAATTAAGAAGGGTTTATTTTAAGGATATAATATTAGGTCATTTGTCAAATAGTAAATCAAAGGAGACTTGCATTCTAAAGACCTGTTCACGATTCACTTTCCGTTGTCACCTCTGCGAATGTAGCTGTCACTGGTGCGGCTCACCGGCTCGTCTGCATGCTGCATCTGCACCCAATGGGACCTCTCCCCTCGCCACCCCCCGTGGCTTGATGAGAGCTCGTCCTGGGTTCTGGCCAGTTAGGTGTCGGTGGCAGCGACGTGTTCCATTTCTGGCCCAGAGCCTCTCACTGCCAGCGCAAGGCCTGGTCCCTGTGCTGTGGCCCATGGGAGGACGTGTCATGGGGCGGAGTCCCCAGGTGGGCAGCTTGCAGGAGAGTGACTCTCATTATAGCTGCCAAAATGCCAGCCGCGTTTGTCACCCCAGCATCCCTGGTCTGCGGCGACTGACGGGCAGACTCAGCACCGTCACGTCAGCGTTCAGGGTTTGCTTCTGTTCACGTGCAGTGTAAAGGTTAAGGTGTCCACTTCCTCAGGGTCAAGGGATAAAAGTTCTAAAGTGGGCTGTAAATTATAGCGATATATAAACGACAAGATTTAGTAAAAATAGTCTGTGACAGTTTAGGCACATTCCAAGAAATAGAACAAGTCAAAAAACATTTTAACACATTTTTGTATATATGTGGGAACTGAGACCTTTAGGAAATAATTCATCTCGCAGATTTAGAAGTGTCTCATGTGTCTTTTTAGATCCGTGTTTGCTATATGTTTTCTCAGATAGCATCTCTGGATAGTTTCTTAAACACGAAGTAAGTAGAATTGATGTGCTTAATAATAAACAAACCAGTAACAGTTCACTGGGGAATAAGTTTTGCTTTGATACTTGAACAGATAGATCCGGAACGCGGAGGAGCAGGTCCCCGCTGTGCGTGCGCGGTCGCGGTCGCGGTCGCGGTCCATCCCCCACAGCCAGCAACCCGCTCACGCCCGCCTGTCGTCTTTCAGCCCCGTGCGGCGGTCACCTGACGGCTGCCAGCGGCGTCATTCTGCCTCCCGGGTGGCCAGGATACTATAAAGATTCCTTAAACTGCGAGTGGATAATTGAAGCGAAACCTGGGCACTCGATCAAAATCACTTTCGATAGGTAAGGAAAAACCTCTTGTTTCTTCATTTGGACCTACCGACCCGTGCGTGTCCCATGCTGTCACTTAAGTGGCTCTTAGAGCTCAGAGGCGGCCGTCGCCCGTCGGTTCCCCCGAAGGAGTTCACGCGAAAGAAGTAGGAGCGCGCTCCGTACCCTTTGGTCTTATCCTTTGACCCCGCCGTCGAGGCGCCCTGCGGGGGCGGGGTCCTGGGCGACCTTCGCCTGCCCGCGGTCGCCCACTCTGGATATGGACGGGCAGGTGGAACACACGATGTCGTGATTGCACCTGGCGGCTCCTCCGGTCCCTTTGGGAGTGTGGGAAGTCAGCTCTTCTGTGCAGGTGGCACTGGAATCTGGGGGGTGGCTTCAGGTTGCAGAGCTGGTGGGGGGTGGGGGGTGGGACGGTTAGTTACTGATTAACTGCCTAGGAGGGGCGCCCTCCGCGGGGCGCTGTGCGGCATAGCCGCTTCACCATAGAGTCGATCATCTGAAGACATCGTGCTGTTGGAGTTTTTCGTGATAATACATGTTGCCATCCATTTGTCTCCACAATGAAGTCAATTTGATGATTAGAAACCAAAGACGCTCGGAACATATCACATGCTTTGAAATCTGAGGACACATCGCCATTTAGTGCCCCAGGCTTGATCTGAGCAACGTTGGGCCTCCTCTAAAAATGACTTCTTCTTGACTAGATCGAGTTCTGGATGTTAATATTCAGAATATTATAATGTCTCAAGGCAGATGAACATTCTCATGTTATCTTCGGTTGTTTCCACTAGCTTTATAACAATCACTTTCATACAGGAAAGATACTGAGCAGGACTTGTATTATCTCTCAGTAATTATTTGAATTTGAAATTTCTGTGTTGCGACTCTTCTCTGATAGGGAACTAATAATCCCCACTAGGATAGTGGCTCAGAAGAAAAGGCAAGCTTTGGCTTCCGTCTCCATCCTGTTGGGAATGGATCGTGAGTGTAATCTTGATCGTGGGGAGAACATCAGCTCTGTGACGTTCAGTAATTTAAGTCAGGTTGCTGTTAATGTTCACGCTTTCTGGGGTTACGTGGCGAAAGCAGACGCACATCCTGATTCCTAGCAGGGCCTCGGATCTGTCATTTAGCAGAGCGGGGCTTTTGCAGCCAGTCGGGGGCCGCTTATTAGCGCTGTTTTCAGTCTCCTGAACAAAGACACTCACATAATTTTTCTCCATTTTGCTTTTTCAATATTATTGAGCTGTGGTATGTTGCTGAATTCCATTTTTAAGTACTAGTATTTCTGGTATTTTCCGACATTTGCAATTTTCACACAGCTCTTTAAAAGATTAATCGCGTGGCGCATCGTAGCTTGCCCCCCGGAGCGTGGGAGCGGGGCAGCCGCCTTGATGAAGGAAGTGTTTGCACAGGCAGATTTTAAACTCCGCAGGGTTGCCACCGTCGTGTCGCCAAATAAGGAGAGACATTTGGAGTTCTGTCTTTCCAAGGTTATCTTGGAAATCTTCCAGCCCTCGAGGCGTGTGCTTTATCTGTCCTGGCTGTCGCTAAATGAAGATGTGAAACCTGTGTGTGCAAACGTTTCAAACACACTTGCCCGGACTTCTGGAGTTTGAGCTCAGAAACAGGATCTTTTGAGAATGTGAACAGGGAAAGACAGGGCTGCATAATTCACCCCAAACGCCCAGCCGTGCCCTCGGCCCGGCCTCGCCACGTGACGCACACGTTTAGATGCCGCTGCAGAAGGGGGTCCGGGGCTGTCCCAGTGACCCTGAGCGTGT